CCAGTTAGTTTGTAATGAATGAATAAGTAAATGCTAAGTTCAAGGGGAAATAAACATTGAAAGAAAAATTGAAGACTTAACAAATAATGGAGATTAAAGTCACACAAACAAATAATAGCCATGAAACTGGTATAAAAACAGAAAAGCAGAAAAGAGACACATATAATTTAGCTTCTGTAGTTGAGTTGAGAAAAGCTTTTCCAAGGAAGCTAGTGTCATAGAGGGTAAGTAAAAATTTGCCAGATGGAAAGTCACTTTCAACGAAAGAAATAGTGAGCAAAAGCACGCTTGAAAGAGAACTATGTGCACAGATGTTACATAATTGTAGAAGCTGATGCTGGGAAGGTAGATGAGACTTCAGAGTAAGGGCCTGTTGTCCAGGGTATGCACAGCTCAGTAGAAATAAGAACATGTAAAAGATACATAAAAGCAGCAGAAGGGCATAATCAGAGGAACATGCAAGACCATAAGCAGGGAGATCAGTGAATAGTGCAAGCGAAGAATGAGAAGAGGGAACACAGTGCAATGGGGAAGGAGGTAAATGATAAAATAGTGTCAAGGACAGGATGTGGGGGGCAATATTAGTAGTCATTATCTCTGGCTGAGTGAGATTCTTGATTGCCAAGGTCACTAAAACAAAAAACAAGCCATCTAAATTAGGACTGATAGAAAGTAATACTTATCAAAGTGGGGGATGAGAAAAATGGTCAAGCAATGGGTCTAAAAATGATCAGTCCTGGCCGCATTCTAATTCGAATGAATAATTTTGTATTTTACATAGTCCATAGCTTACTTTAAAACTTTTTTCCACAAATATCCTAACAGAGATACACTCTTAGAGAAACTCAGAAGTTTCAGTGACAGCAAAAAGAAAATTAGAAACACTGTCTACTGAGGACCCAGAAAGAAAAAAAATCTACTCAGGGTGAATTTTATTGGTAAATTGTAAAAGTGCAAAGTAAGTGGTGGGAATAGATAAGGGAACATGGTTGGAGTCATAGGGACAATCAAAAGGCATTTAAGAAACAGATATAGAATAATTCTGGTAGGTATTCCACAAGTATCTTTCAGGTTTTCAACACCAATCACATTGAAGAGCTACACCCAATGATTTAATAAGTTGATTGTACTCCAAGTGCATATCAACTTAAGTGAACTGAAGAATTGGATCTACAAGTTAGGATTTATTCCAAAATATTGTTTTCCCATTGCTTTAATTCCCACTGTTCAACTTTCCTGGGTAATTAATATTGCGAGCTCTCCTTTTTCTTAACTCCCATCCATAATGTAACTTTCAAATAATTTAAATATTTGGGATACTTAATAATATAATAAGCAGTCTATTCTTTTTATTTTAATCTTTATTGATTTGAGAGAAAGAAAGCAATATGGATTTGTTGCCCCACTCACTCATGCATTTATCAGTTGACCCTTGACCCTTGTATGTGCCTGGACCAGGCATTGAACTGGCAACCTCGGGGCATCAGGACAACACTCCAACCCAGCTACCCAGCCAGGGAAAGTACTCTGCTCTTAATTTTAAAATGTTGAGTTGAACATTTTGCATTACAATTTTTTAATCAAGTTAAATTTCTCTATTAATGAGTTAGTGAACTTCAGAGATAAAAAATAAGATATATACACTATATAGCCTCTCCATTCCTACAAATATTAGATATAAATAAAAGTCATCATAAAATGAACTTGGACTTACTAGTAAAGTTGCATATTCTTAATGTTGCAACTGCTGTCAGTACTGGCTTCCCAGCTCTCTTTACACTTTGAGTAGTATAAGAAACCTGCCATTTTCACTAGGAACAGTAAAGCTCCAGTAACACAACAATTAAAGTTTTGATTTTGTAGTTCAACTTTAAAGTTTCACACTACCCCCACCTCATCACTTCTCTACATCCTTCACCTTGAAAGAAAGAGCACAAACCTGGGGATTGTTAAAAAGTAAAAATTAAATCTACAATGTTATTTGAACTCAAAAAGTGTTGTAGTTTGTAAAGTTGACAAGGTTCTTTTACTTTTTAATGCTTCCCCAAGTGCTTGTCAATTATATAAAGTTGTGAGTAATGTATGGCATAAAACGCAGTTCCAAAGTCTTTTTTTATTTTTTAGGGACTATATTACATGTTCAAACATTACATACTAGAGTAAAACAAACAAAAAATATAGAACTACTTTTTCCCACTAACTAGTCCTTAGCGGGAACATATGAAATCTTGCTCCCTAGCATATGTCATCAGTTTAGCTCAAATTAACCCTTATAAAAATAAAAAATAGTCCTTAGCTTTGCCTAGAATTTTCGTACAGCTGTTAGCATTTTTTTAATGTTCTGACTAGTATCTTGCTGTATGCATTCACTAGAGTGTTCCTGTATGATTTCTATCCAGATCTACTCAGAATATAGGATAGGGCAGCACAAGCCGCTGATGCCTTTGTGGTTAGTATAAATACCTTTCATCCTGCTTATGAGAGAATTAAGGGGATGGATTAGTGAAAATTCCAGTTAACTAAGGGTTTAAGTATGTACCTCCAAATAATGTACCCAGAATTCCCCTCCTCATTTCCTCGAGATCTTCAAGTTAATCAAAGAGGCTGATGTAGAGTTACAAGCTACTTCCCAAATTGCCTGGAAGAAAACAACTTTTTCTATAATTTCTAAAAGTTAGAATAAAAAATAGTTTGGCTCTCTCTTCAATAACTTCAACTAAGTCAAATTTGCTTTCTTTTTCCCCGAAGATTATGGTGTCAAAGCAGGAAAGTGAGATTCTTTGTAAGTGTAAATGTATGGTGCTAATATAAGCTGATTTTATTAGTTCCTGTTTAAGTTGTTAATAAAAGTGTAACAAAATTTAGATTTCAAATTTCCACTTGATAATATAAGACATCTTTTACTACATTTTCAATTGATACTTATAATTTGCACACTATACATAAATTGGGAGATTAAAAATGTTTTAAGACCTGGATGGTTGGCTTAGCTGGAGCATCATACTGGAAACCAAAAGGTTGCAGGTTCAATTCCGTCAGGGCACATGCCTAGGTTGTAGGTTTAATCCCAGGCCATGGTGGGTATGGGAGACAACCAATCACTGTTTCTTTCACATTGATGTCTCTTTCCCTTCCCCTTGCTCTTTCTAAAACCAATAAAAACATATCCTAGGGTGAGGATTACAGAAAAAAGTTTCAAATCATCTGTGTGTAAATGTACACTATATAAAGAAAAAAGAAAACATTGAATGTCAACTATAATTGGAAAAAAATTTTTAATGGTAAAATAAGAAAAAAAGAAGAGGGAAGGAAGAAACAAAAACTTACTTTTTCTTCTGTCTTTGTACAAGAAAACTAAACTTCAAAATGTTTCTTTTTAAAAGATATTGAGCTGAGTTTTGAATTGGGATTTTCAAAAGGAAAAAATATGATCATATGTTTTATGAGAAATCACCCTGGCAGTGTAGCTCAGTTGGTTAGAGTATCCTCCCCACACCAAGGTTGAGTTCAATCTTTAGTCAGGGCACATACCAGAATCAACCAATGAATGCATAAACAAGTGGAACAACAAATCAGTGCTTCTCTCTCTCCCCCTTTCTCTCTCTCTCTCTCAAATCAATCAATAAAAAAAATTATTTTATGTGAAATCACTTGTTTTAATAAAATATATTTTATGTGGCATTTGAACCACAAGGTGGTGCTATAATTCCATGCTGGTACTAATGTTTTAGAAGTTAATTGGTAATTTTTATTTTAAACTCTTGATTTTTAAAAATATATATTTTTATTGCTTTCAGAGAGGAAAGGAGGAGAGAGAGATAGAAACATCAATGATGAGAGAGAATCATTGATCTACTGCCTCCTGCACACCCCACACTAGGGATGGAGCCCGCAACACCCGCATGTGTCCTAACTGAGAATTGAACCGTGCCCTCCTAGTTCACAGGTTGACGCTCAACCTCTGAGCAACACTGGCCACGCTAAACTTGATTTTTAAAATTATTTTGTAATTGAAAATATAAAGCTAATTGGATTTGCCCTAGAAATATTTACTGAAACTCTTCTAATTGCAAGGTTTTATGCTAACTTCAAAAGCTCATAATTTTAAAGTCTAATGACTAAGCATATATTAAAATACTAAAAATGCTTTCTTAAAAGTTATTTCTACTTAGAATTTTAACTTTATGTTAATGTTAAATATGTGACAAATTTCAAATTACACACATATAATATAAACAGATGGGTAAATAATATACAATCAGATGAACTAAATAATAATAATATTCTCTTTTTCCTCTCAAATAATAGAATCAATTTTCTTGAAGTATACCCAGGATGATTATTGCATTTTTATTTATAAAGTTAAAAAATAATATTTTATTTAGTAACCTAAAATTTATTTTTTCTCTTAACTTTATCTAAAACTTTTTCTCTCTTCAGAAAAATGTATTACTTCCCATCACTTAAAAAAAAACAAAAATACCTCACTGTGTATCTTGTAATACTGGACGGCCACCATCTGTGTCTGTGCTGCTGGTCTTAAAATGTGTTACAGAATAGAGCACTAAAATCCTCAACACATTTTTCACAGTTAACTTTCCAACCTGCTTCTAAAAGAGGAATCATGCCCTTACTTTCTCAATGGTAACTGAAAATGTGTTGCTGCTTTTTCACTGAGCATGAAATTGTTGTAGTTTTGTTTTATTTCATTTTCAATGAGCATTTTTAACTTTTCATTACAACATATTCATCAGTACAGATGGCAAAATGGTCTGTATGACAGCCTCTTGGGTACAATATGCAAGTTCCAGTTGGAGTGTTTCCAACAGGATGTAAGCTATGGTCCTGAAACCTGTAGTTTTAAAAACATATTACTTAGCACACTGCCAACAAATGTCAACACAAAAATACAGCGCTGTAATGAGTTCACTCTGTAAAAGAAGTGTACTGGCACCTAAGTTTTCCTAGGAAAAGTAAAACAGAGTAAAAGCATATAATCATACCACAAAAATATTTAAGTATTTATTCAATATTGCATGAAAAAGCTCATATACCAAATGGAATTAAAATTCTTAACAAAAATACTGCAGTATATTAAAATTTATAGGGAATTCTTAAAATATACAACATATACAGTAGCCAAAGTCCTGGAAAAGTTCATGTAGAAAAATTCTATAGTGAGTGATTTGAACCTTTCAGTAACTCTGCAGTTTCTTCAAACCTGAAAAATAAGTAATACATTAAGTAAATAAATATCATAATGAGGCATAGGTTTTAAGTTGCTAAAATTATGCATTTAAGCTAAAATAAATTTTAACATTTCTCTTTTTTACAAGTATAGTCACTGTTAGTAAGTTAAGTATACTATGGTCAGAAGGGAGGAATAACAATTGGAGTCAATTATTTCTGGGAGCATAAGCTGTTTCAGTACTTCTCAAATTTCAAGAAATATAGTTTTTTAAATAGTAGGCTACCTAATAACTTAAATATAATTTCATATTTCCTTTCAACTGCACTTTAGATACAAGTATCATTTTTACTATTACCTTACCAATAACTTTCTGAAAAACACTAGCAATACTTATGCTTAAAATGTCTCCAAACCACCCATGTACACATACCATTTAACGTTTTGATAAATCAGTTATCAAAAATAGGTAATCCTCTTGATTAACTATCAACCAAAAATATTCCTGCACTCTTTAATCTACAATTAATTCCATTAACAATGTTTTATATCACTTGTTGGAAACCAAAACAGTGACTCATCTCACAAACACATAACTGTAGGAGGATTTATTATCCACTTGAGTCCTGAAGGAAATTCCACACCTGATTGAGAGACCTTTAAGGTTTGAAACACATATGCACATTCTACATATACTGTAATCCAATACAATTCCCTGTAGAGAAATGAATTTCTGTTGCCCCTTTCTGTTACTTACATTTTTTTCATCCTTTCCATTTTCTGGATTGTTGTTTCCTTTAATTTAAAAAGCAACAAATTTAGGCAATTTCTCAAAATAAACCATCATCAAAGATGGACTGTGAACATATAAAACACAGACTAAAACATTGCATTAAGTACTGTTTACTTATCACAAAGAATTTTTATGAGAGATTAAGATTTGCATGGTTTCACTATTTTTCTTGCCAATGGCATCTACAACTAAACCTAATGCTTGCTTATTCTCCTGACCCTCGAAAGTAAATCATCTAAGCAAGTTGCCAGTTTTTCTTACCTCTGAAATCTCTTTCAGACCACAGTAATTAAGAGTTGAGGTTCTGGGAGTTGAGTCTCTAGATGTTGTTCTATAACAGGAAGTCAGAGGAATACCTACTTCCTTCTCTTTGCTTCTGTTATCTGTGGAGAAATCAATTTTTCAGGTTATCTTTTCCTTTCACAGTGGAGTCAAATATCTAAAAATTTTATTTATATGTGAAAGAAAAATAAACATCTATATATATATTAAAGGCTAATATGCAAAGTGTCCCCTCGGGAGTTCGATTGCTTGCTATAACGTGCACTGACCACCAGGAGGCAGCTCAGAACATGGTGGGCAACCAGTGGCAGCAGGGCACTGAGGAAGGAGGGAAGGAGGAGACAGGGAGGTGGGCGGAACTGCGTGGTGGCAGTGCGCAGGTGGCGAGGGAAGGAGGAGGCAGGGAGGCGGGGAACCTGATCGGCCTTGATCGCCGGCCAGGCCTAGAGACCCTACCCATGCACAAATTTTGTGCACCGGACCTCTAGTTTTAATATAAAATGGTTACTGGTATGCAGATGAGTTTTTAATATTCTTCTAAGATAATGACCTACATATAAAGACCTAGATGTTAAAAATTGGCCAATAATAATTACAAAAGGCAATATTACCTCTGTAATGATAACAATTAATTGAATAATAGGCAAGTTAATTTATTTTTAAATATAAGCTACTAAATCATGGCAAATCCTCCCTACAACGCAATAAATTACAGATCATCACAGGTAAGACATGTTCCTGTCAAATCAATCAACAGGCTTGAGTACCATTTTGCTGCAAAAACAAGGCCAGAAAAAAAATTAAAGTTTTATTATAAGCCTATACAGGCAACCTCAATTAGGGAATAAAGTATTACCACATGAGGACTGAAACAATTAAAAAGACTTTTACTTTCATCTCTCACAGAGCAGTGTCTTCTATTTTTCTTGCCGATTCCTCTACTTACTCATCAGCATGAATTTGGACAAAATGCCCAGCCCAGGATTAACATTATTTGATACTAGAGTCCCAGTGCACTGGGGGGGGGGGGGGGGGGTCCCTCAGCTCCACCTGCACCCTCTCCAATCTGGGACCCCTCGAGGTATGTCCAACTGCCCATTTAGGCGCACCAGGATTTGGCCTAAATGGGCAATCAGACACCCCTCTCACAATCCAGGACTGCTGGCTCCCAACCGCTTGCCTGCCTGCCTGCCTGATTGCCCCTAACTGCTTCTGCCTGCCAGCCTGATCACCCCCTAACCACTCCCCTGCTAGCCTGATCGATGCCTAACTGCTCCCCTGCTGGCCCGGTCACCCCTAACTGCCCTCCCTTGCCAGCCTGGTTTCCCCCAACTGCCCTCCCCTGAAGGCCTGGTCGCTCCCAACTGCCCTTCCCTGCAGGCCCGGAACCCCTAACTGCCTTCCCTTGCCAGCCTGGTCGCCACCAACTGCCCTCCCCTGCAGGCCTGGGTCCCCCCAACTGTCCTCCCCTGCAGGCCTGATTGGCCCCAACTGCCCTCACTTTCAGGTCTGGTCCCTCCCAACTGCCCTCCCCTGCTGGCCTGATCGCCCACAACTGCCCTCCCATGCCGGTCATCTTGTGGCAGCCATCTTATGTGTTGGAGTGATGATCAATTTGCATATTACTTTTTTATTAGATAGGACTAGAGGCCCAGCGCGCAAAATCACACGACACCCAGACCCGCCCTGTGCAAGCCGAGGGACCCCAGACCCGCCCTGCGTGAGCTGCGGGCCCTGCCTCTGCTGCACCAGCCCCGCGTGAGCCCTGCCTCGCCACGCGAGCTCCATGCCCTCCTGGTGACCAGCTGTCATGACCACAGGCCTTTATGATATAGACTAGAGGCCCAGTGCACAAAATTCATGCATGGGGGGGGGTCCCTCAGCCTGACCTGCAATGATGCCAGCGTCCCTGGCCCTGGCCTCCAGCCCGAGGCCCCTCCCCTCCCTCCGCGCGGCGGGGCGGGGACTCTGGGCTCGTGTTGCTGGGGCAACGCCTCCAGCGTCCCACCTTGGCCACTATGGGTACCGCCATCTTTGTCGCAGAGTAAAAGTTAATTTACATATTACTCTTTTATTAAATAGGATATTATCCCTGGTGTCCTAAATCCAAATTTCCAAGGGAGACAAAATGATTTGGCTCAACACCTTTTGTACTGGTATTCCTTAGATCAAGTATCTATTCTTGATCTAGTTATTTGAGCTCAGGTCAAGGTCACATGGCACAATGTTGAAGACTAGCTACATCCCACTTTTAGCAGGCTGTATGCTGTTTACAGGTTACTGACAAATGCGTTTTATTCTCTTGCACATATTATCACATATGCAAAGCGGCTACTTAAGTATAAATTAGAAACTTGGAGATAAATTTTTATTATTCTACTAGAGGCCCAGTGCACGAAATTCATGCACTCGGGGGGTGGGGGGGGGCCTTCAGCCCAGTCTGTGCCCTCTCACAGTCCAGGAGCCCCGCAATCAATAGCCCCAAAGAGGTAGGCCCTGCCCACCCGGCCAGGGCTCTACGATGGATCGCCCCCACAGAGGGAGGCCTTGCCCACCTGCCGCAGCACTGCCATAGGGTAGTCTGGGCCTCCCTCTTTGGAGCAATCATGGAGCCCCCCTACTTATCGATCGCCCCACCAGCCAGTGGCCTGGGCCTCCCTCTGCAGGGCAATCATGGGGCGATGGCCAGGCCCCTGACCAATCACACCCGCCTTAGCTGGCCTGGCACCAGTGGGTGCCATAGCATGGTTGTCCAGAAGGTCGTCCAGATGGTCATTCTGCTGTTCGGTCGTTCGGTCGATTTGCATATTACACTTTTATTATTATAGATAGCACTTAGTAATTAAAGGGGTACAAAATCTCTAAAAGTTTGCAATTCTGTATATTAAAATTTATTCAATCACTATGTCACATAAGATATGTAAGCTGGCTTCTTTAGCAATCCTTGGCTTCAGTAGTCTGTAAGTTTATATTTTCTTTGTTCCTAAGAGCTTTGCAGTTTCTAAAATATAAGGCTTGGGAATATTAAAATTACCAGACACATATTAAAATTATTTTTCTAAACTGTTGATCAAGAGACCTTTAAGGTCTGAAACACATATGCACATTTTATATATACTATAATCCAATACAATGCTATACTGCCAATACTACTACCATAAGAACTTACCAAGTTTCAGAATATTCCTGCTACTACCAGAAGCACAGTCTTCATTCATTTCATCATAGTAAAAATAGTTATCATTCTGGAATAATATAGTTTAGTATTTAGAATGAAAAGAAAAACGTTATTATTTTACATTATTACTGCTAAGCATAAAATATAAAGTTGACATGATAAATGTTTAAATATTTAAGTATTTTATTTATAAAGCAATATATAAATATTCCTAAGAATAAGAAATATTTTAAATGTTGGAATCAGATAGTAACCTTCTTGAATCTACTAACTTTACTTTTTAGGAAGGATAGACTAGGACCAGAAATTAAGATCGTGAGTAAACCAAGAAAAAATTTCTCAGATTAGATGAAGCAATGGCAAATTTGGTGACTGTCTCTATAAAATTTACAATTTGATTGAAGTAAATGAGTGAGAAAAGGAAGTTCTAATTTCAATTGTTCCTCTCCTGGCAACTTTTTCTTGTAAAAAATAGGCCATTTGTACTATGACAGGATATGAAATAATTTCAAGCTTTTTAAAAACAAAAGCAGCCGAAACCGGTTTGGCTCAGTGGATAGAGCGTCGGCCTGCGGACTGAAGGGTCCCGGGTTCGATTCCGGTCAAGGGCATGTACCTGGGTTGCGGGCACATCCCCAGTAGGAGATGTGCAGGAGGCGGCTGATCGATGTTTCTCTCTCATCGATGTTTCTGACTCTCTGTCTCTCTCCCTTCCTCTCTGTGGAAAATCAATAAAATATATTTAAAAAAAAAAAAAAAATAAACAAAAGCAAACATTATTTTACCTTATTTTAAAATACTTTAAGTACTAATAGCTCTAAAAGCTCAAGTGGTAGGTTTATCAAATTATCTTATTTGATGTAGAGAAAAACAATAGCCATGACAATGGCAATAAAACAGGCCATGTCTAAATAGGACTTCATTCCCACCAAACATTTCCCATTATCCAAAGATCCTCTTATTTAGCATTTCCAAAGGAATAAACACAATAATAAATAAAAAAAAATACACTGTATCTGAGATATCCTATAAATACTAAGGAAAGAAAATACCTTTTTGGACAAAAGCAATTCTGTTTCAAGAAGAGTGACACGACTTATTAGATTGGTCCAGGTTTTTTCATCTACCATCACTTTTCCTTTCATTTTTTCTTCTAAAGAATTTAATCTGCACTCTATCTGAGTCAGTTTCTTAAGCTTTTCTTGGCATTCAGCAAGCAGAGTCTGTAGTACAGTAAGCTCAGGATTAGCTTTAATATCCTAAAATATTAAAAATAATATTACACAAACTGAAATCCTTTAAAAGTCAACACATTGCCATTTCCATTGTGATATATATATGTATATATATATATACACATATATATATATATACACACACACATATATATAAATATTGATTTCAGAAAGGAAGGGAGGAGAGGGAGAGAGAGGAACATCCTTCCTATCTAATAAAAGACAAAAAGGGTAATTAACCATACCTCCGCTATGCTTCCCATTGGCTAATCAGGGCGATATGCAAATTAACTGCCAACAAAGATGGCGGCCGGCAGCCACGCAGCTGAAGCGAGCAGGAGGCTTGCTTGCTCCAGTGATGGAGGAAGCCAAGGTTCCCTGCCTGCCATGGCCGGGCTTTGAGCTCCGGAAGCAACAGTGTTTCAATTGTAGAAGGTAAATAAATCCTAGAATAAAAAAAGAAAAGAAAAAAAGGAGAGGCTGGGAGCTTCAGTCGCCCGCCAGCCTGAAAACGGCCCTCAGCCCCTCACCCAGACTGGCCAGGCACCCCAGTGAGGACCCCCACCCTAAAGGGGGTGTGACCAGCTGCAAACAGCCATCAGCCCTTCACCCAGGCTGGCCAGGCACCCAAGTGGGACCCCCACCCTGATCCGGGACACCCTTCAGGGCAAACCAGCCAGCCCCCACCCATGCACCAGGCCTCTATCCTATATAGTAAAAGGGTAATATGCAAACTGACCCTAACAGCAGAAAGACTGGGAATGACTGGTCACTATGACACACACTGAC